GAAACCTTCCTGCTCCCTAGCAAGCAGCTGTCCAGGATAATCCCAGAGAGACAAAAATCCAAGCGTGAACAAACGGAGCAGCCGGTGCAGAGCTGGGCTGGGCACAAAGCCTGCTCCTCCCCAGGGGCAGAGGACATTAGCCAGGGACATGGCACAGCCCAGCCTGGCTCCTGCCAGGGTCAGCTGGAGCTGGACAGATGGACCCCATGAAACAGAGAGAAACAGGTTGAACAGATTTTTCTCATCTCCAAGGAGAAAGCTCAGTCCCAGCGTCACAGCACTGTGGGATTGGGAAGGGCACAGGATGAAGACCTGATGGATGCAGGGCCAGCTTGGTTTGTAGGAGGGATTTCACACCTCCACATTGCCCACACTGAACCCTCCACCCTGGTACCTGCTTGTTTCGGAAGTAAAACTCCTTCTGCCCTGGGGGCACCTGTTGGAAGGGGATCCACTCCTCTCTCCCATCCTCTGCCGTGCAGAAATAGGTGGTGGCAGCAGAATGGTCCCTGCAGTGGCAGAAGGGCAGGTGGACACATCATGGGGGCACCAGCAGCTCCCCAGGGCATGATGCCCCACCAGCCCCAGCACAGCAACTGAATTTGGTGGGTACCAGGGCACCAACCTGTGCTCCAGTGCTGCCACCACAAAGCCCCAGGATGCCAGCTCTGTGCACACCGAGGAGTACAGGGTCCTGCAAGGGAGCCCAGGAGGAGAGGGGTCAGGGAGGTCCAAGGTGGACCACGAGGGCTCTCGATACCACATCCCTCCCTCAGCCCTGGGCAGGGGTTCAGCACCCCCAGCCCTGCTCGGGGCTCATCCTACCTAAAAGCTCCCAGGCCATGGGAGAAGATGACCAGGGGGTACCCATGGCTGTGGGGCTTCAAAGGCCCATTCCAGCTGACTGGCACTCTGCAGGAGCCTGTGGGGAGGAGAAACCCCCAGGAAAAGGAGGGGGGACAGGCAGTGAGGAGCTGCTCAGCTTCAGCCCTGTCTGTAGCATCCACCCAAGCACAGGGGATGGGCTTGAACCCCACTCAGGGAGTGGGTTCCTCAGGAATGGGGAGGTGGGGGATGAGCCCCTCACCGACAGCGATGCTGATCAGGGCTGAGCACCAGCGACGACCCAGGGCGAAGTCAGCCAGGCCCCCACAGTACTCGGAGCGTGGGATCCAGAGAGGCTGTGCAGCCCCTGCCTGGGGCAGGCAGGGGTAGAAGAGGCGAAGGAAGAGCCCCTGGGGGAGAGAGGGGAAGGGGAGATGTGGTGGGGACAGCACAGAGTGTGGTTACCGTGTCCTCAATGAAACCAGCAGGCTGCAGCCACCCCGCTCTGCATGAGAGCTTGTCCCTGTCCCCATCCTCAGCCTTGTCCCCATCCTCAGCCCTGTCCCCACCTCCAGCCCTGTCCCAGTCCCATACCTGCTGTGTATGGCCCACCATGACATCTGTGCAGCCCACGAGGTGAGGTCCCTTCCCTGGGGGCAGTGCCAGTGCCAGCATCCCCCCCATGCTGAGCCTAGGCAGAGACATGGGGTCAGCATCTGTCCCCCCTCCCCAGGGGACCCTGACTCACTCCCTCCTTCTTCCCTCCCCCCTCTCCCATTGCCCAGACCCCAGACAGCCCCCAGCACTGCACCAGCAAACCCACTGACAGCACGGGGAGAAATGAGGCTCCCATTTCCCCCCTCTCCTCGAATTCCCACGGGCACAGCCCCTTGGGGCTGCTCAGGGATTAAAGCCCCCCCAGTTTCTCTTGCCAGAGCAGGATGATGGGGCTGACAGCTGCTCAGTGCCCAACAGGGCAGACCCCATGGCCACTCTGCAGAGGGTGTCAGTCCCCCCTGGGGACACGAGGGCTGGGGGAGGCAGGATGGGCAGACTCTGCAGAGCTGGGGTGGCACTGGGGGTGTGGGAGCAAGGGACCAGCACAGGGCTGACACCCACGGGAGTCACCAGTGCAGAACTGCAGCTTCCAGCAGCGCCCAGGGCTGGGGAACCACAATTCCCAGCATGGCCCTGGCCAGGGACTACACCTCCCAGTACGCGCTGGATCCCCGGACTACACCTCCCAGTATGCGCAGCTGAACTACAGATCCCAGTGCTTCCCAGTGCCCTTCTCCTAGAGCCCTTCCTGCAGCTCCCAGTGCTCCCCCCAGCGCCCCCAGTTACCATCGCAGCTCCCAGTCCCAGTATTCCCCTAGCTCCCAGTGCTCCCTCAGCTCCCAGTGCTCCCTCAGCTCCCAGTGCTCTCCAGTTCCCAGTGTCTCCAGCTCCTACTACTCCCCAGCTCCACCCCAGCTCTACCCCAGCTCTCGGTGCTTTAAACCTCCCAGTGCTACCCCGCCAGCTCTACCCCAGCTCTCAGTGCTTTCCAGCTCCCAGTGCTCCCCCCAGCGCCCCCAGTTACCATCGCAGCTCTCAGTACTCTCCTAGCTCCCAGTACTCCCCTAGCTACCAGTGCCCCCCAGCTCCTGCTGCTCCCCAGCTCCACTCCAGCTCCCAGTGCCCTCACCCCCGCAGTTCCCAGTGCCCCCAGGAGCTCCCAGTGCTCCCCTGCAGGGCTCCCAGTGCCACTCCCAAGCTCCCAGGGCTCCCCCAGCTCCAAGTTTCCCTCTGTGTTTCCCCAGCTCCCAGAAACAACCCCCCAGCACCCAGTATCCCCCAGCTCCCCCTCTCCAGTTCCCCCCTTGCACTCACCAGTGTACTGGGTCACAGGTCCCAGCACGCACCAGTGCACCCTGCCCTACAGGTCCCAGTGCCACCCATGCACGTGAACTACAGCTCCCAGTAGCCACCAGTACAGGACACAGCTCCAGGGTCACCAGTGCAAAATCACAGCTCCCAGTGCCATACAGATCCCAGTGCTCCCAGTGAAAAATCACAGCTCCCAGTGCCATACAGGACGTAAATCCCAGTGCCATCAGTGCTCCAGTTTGGGACCCATCCTCAGTTCCCCCATCACAGCTGCAGTCTGGGGGGCTTTGGGGGGTTGTGCCCATGGGCAGCACCCCAACCCCAGAGCTGCTGTGTCCCTGTCTGCACCCAGCTGGGTTCCTGCCCCCAGGGCTGTACCCATGTCCCCCCCAAAGCCCAGAGGTGTTCTGGGTCTCCCACTGCCCATCCCCACATTCCCTGTCCTTTGGTTAATCCACTTTCTGGAGCTAAAGCAGCCCTAGGCCTGTGGTAATCCCCTCTGCGGCCAGGGATTAATTCCCTGCGGGGCTGAGCTGGCTAGGCTGGCAAATAAATATCCACAGATTTGGTAAAAAACATCTCTCCCAAGCTGACACACACAGCCCCATGCCAGGCTCCCCATAACACCACCCTGGGAAAGGGTCCTGGATGGAGGTGGTGGGTGGTGAGTTGGCAGCTTGGAACCTTCCTGTTCTTGCCTCCAATCCACCCAGTCGGACTGTGGGGGTCCCACCAGTGAACCCCTTGGGTCCTGGTTATGTGGGTGTCACTGGGGACCCCCACACTGAGCTCACACAATGTTTACAGGGACTTTCTTTAAAGGAATTCACTCAGCCCATACTCCCACTTGTTTCCTGTTCCAATCACCCCACTAAGAGTTCTCACTGGTGACAGCTGATCTGGGGAGGGGTCAGACCAGGCTGGGACCCTCATCTCTGCCCCCTAAGAGGGTGATCCCACCAGCTTTGTGCCACGGTCCCTGGGCATGGCCAAATTGAGAACAGGCATTGACTTTGTCAGGATACAGAAGGGCTCATCCCTGCCTGAGGGTCACCTGGAGATGTCATTGAAACCTAGGGATGTCCTTGGAGCCTGGGGGGTCTCTGGAGCCTGGGGAAATCCTTGGAGCCTGGGGGTCTCTGGAGCCTGGGGACATCCTTGGAACCTGGGGATCACTAGAGTCCAGGGATGACATTGAAGCCCAGAAGTGTCATTGACAGAGGTGGTCCCAGCTGTGTTTCTGTCCCTGTTCCCCATCACCCCATTGCTGCCCTATAACTACCCCATCCCTCTGTGGTCCCGAGGGGCTCCGTGGCATCGGGTGACAAGGGATGTGGGACAGTCCCAGCGTGGGGAACCCTAACCCTAACCTTAACCCTAACCCTAACCCTAACCCTAACCCTAACCCTAACCCTAACCCTAACCCTAACCCTAACCGAACCCCCCGGGCACTCCCGGCGTGGGGACCCCACGTGGGTCAATGGGGAATGACATGGGGCGTGGTCACATTCACCACGCCCACCTGGTGCGAAATCCACCAATGGGATGAGTGTGGGCGTGGCTAGAGTGATATTGGGCGGGGCTAAGAGCTGCGGGCGGA